AATAATAATAATAATATTATTATTATTATTATTATTAATAGTAATAAATACGAAGTACTCCATGGCTGGAGTCAATCTAGTTTATACGTATGTGAGTCCACAAGTTATATGCTTTGTGGTTAAGTTGCTTCTTATGTATGAAATGGCTTGAATTGGCTATTTCTTTGTCTTTGCTTTTTTTAATGGAAAGAACATTTTAAGTTAGTATGCATGGTGTCCTTCTTGAATTTTATTATTCCAAGAACGTGTTCTTCAGGGCTTAAACTCTTTGTTATGCGAAAATCGAGAATAACAAATATAAACGAGAAAAACACGACAACAGATTTAACGTGGTTCACCAACGTTGTGTTGGCTAGTCCACGGGAAGAAGGGGAGCAATTTTATTTCGGATGGAGAGGCAAAAACAGAATACAAATACTCCCTCCATCCCTAAATATTTGCAACGTTTTGTTTTTTCAGTGTTGCGGGAACTTTTGTTTATTTTTACATTTTCATTGGTTATTTGATAAAATAAAATATTCTTGACACCTCTTATTTTGAAGAACTTTTCATATAGTTTTTTGATATGTAAATTTTATTTTTTATTTATATACCAATATGTAAATAAAATGAATTGAAAAAATTTGATATTTTGCCTCGTGAATACAAGTGTGACAAATATGTAAGGACGGAGGGAGTAGAACAAAAATCATAGAAGACACAAATGGGAGAATAACCATAAAGTAGAGAAAGCACACACCAAACTAAATACTCCCTCTGTCCCAGAGTATTTGTCCACTTTCATTTTTACACACTATCCAATATACTTCTTTAATCCATTTTATCTTGTAATTTGTATATTAAAAAAATTATAGAAATTATATATTAATAATCTATATGTTAAGACAAATCAAACAAGATCACACATGACTATATTTAGGCTTACACATTGAGAGAATTTGATGAGTCAAAGTGTTTAGATGAACAGTTCCAAAAGTCAAAAGTGGACAAATATAGCGGGACGGAGGTAGTAATAACAATGGGAGAGCACATCAAGTAATAAGCACCATACATAAAAAACCCACAAGTCAACAACAGGTCCAAAAGCTACCACCAAAGCCCAACCTACCCAATTATCTTAATCTTTTTTTTTGAATGTTATTGACTCTATAACAAGGTAGTATCTGTTCATACTATTCTTAAGCTAATGACGCACAAAGAGCCAATGCTGCTGCCTTCGCTGGGGCTCGAACCTGAGTGAACTTCCCCATGAATCCTGGGGAGTGGGCTTGCTACCACTCAAGCCAGGAGAGAAGTTCAATTATCTTAATCTTAGTTCTTCAAACATTTATATCTAAAATAGTATCCTCGATAAGGGCCAAAAATCTTAAGTCATGTCTGATATACCCCTCGTATCATACGGAGTGTGTTTTAACTCATTTTTTATATAGATTAAATTGAAAGTAATAAATCCAGTCACCCATAACCACTAGATTAATGAATGGATGAGGGTGAAATTTCATCCATGAAAAGTGGACCAGTTGCCATCATACTAGTTTAGAACTTTAGGGATTATTTGAGAATATCGTTAGCGTTTAGAAAAAGCTATCTAAAAATAGTGTTTAATGTTGGCATTTTTAATGTTAATTAGTATTGTTTTATCTAAAACGCTAACGTTAATCAAAAGAAAAAAGACTAAAGTAAAGAAACATTTAAAATATACTAAAATAAGAATTTTATATTTTTATTTTCGAAATAAGAGTCAAAATGCACTTATAGTAACAATACTAATAATATATATTACCAAAAAATATTATGAGATGAATATATTCAGTACTATATTATCACAAATTTCTATTTTAGAACAAAAACATGAATCTTATTATGATTTTTACTAGGAAAACTATTTTCCCAGGGCTTTCATTTATACCGCTTCTTCTTCGTTGAGATACCTCTTTTTTCTTTTGTCGTCAGCCATGGACGACCCCAAAACCCTCACTATCAGACTCCAATTTCTATGAAAAATCTATCAATTCGAGTTCCTATGTATCGTCTCCCAAACTTCTGAACTAAATCCCTAACATCCGATTCCAGCGTTGCCCTTCCCAAACTCAATGGGAGACTGCTTCGAAGCGCTTTTGAACACCTACTTCCCGAACGGGGCGGAGGTCGAGGTCAGCAGCAACGACGACGGCTTCCGCGGCGCGTGGTACGAGGGAAAGGTGATCCGCGCGGTGTCGAAGAAAGTCAAAAAGAGGGACAGCAAGAAAGGGAAGCGCGTGGAGGTGGTGGTTGAGTATTTGACGCTAACGGAGGACGAGGCCGGGAAACTGCCGCTGCAGGAAACAGTCGATATCGTCCAGGTCCGGCCGCGGCCGCCCCGGGAGCGCCGCCACAGCTTCAAGTTCAGCGAGGAAGTGGACGCCTACTATAATGATGGGTGGTGGGAGGGAATCGTAACAGGGGTGCTGGAAGGGGGGAAATACTCTGTATTCTTCAGGGCAGCCAGGGAGCAGATGGAGTTTTTGGAGTCCGAGCTCCGTCTCCACCGTGAATGGGTAAATGGAGAGTGGGTTCCGGGCCTAGAAGATGGTGGCGATGAGGTAAGCTATGCAAACTCTAGATATAAATGTCTGTATGCATATCATTTTCGTGTATTTTAATGTCTAATTAGCCTGAGTTTTTTGGTGATTCATAGTGTTTCTCAACATTCCCTATAGAAGTGGTGGTCTGGTGCAATATGAAATGTAAACATTGTCTCTTTTACACAATGTTTGGTTCAAGGAATTTGGAAGGAAAAGAAAAGAAAGTGATTTTCTCTCATTTTCCTCACCGAGGAATTCGGTTTTCCACCCTCTTAATACATTTTGTCTTCTCATTTTCTTTTCCTTCAAATTTTCTTTTCTTTTCCTCTCTAACCAAACAAGAAACATTATTTTCCATCTCATTTTCTTTTCTTTTCTCTTTCAAATTCTTTGAACCAAACATAGTGTTAGGTTGTGATTGGTTGGAGGGGAGGGGAGGGAAAATGTTTCCCTCCCATTGTTTGTCCCAAACATTTATAGGTTGGGAGAGCGAAAACTTTTCCACCTCTCGGCTCCCATACAAATATTGAAGGGATCGGAGGGAAATTTTTGGTTCTTCCTCCCTAAAAATGGTTTGAACCAAATGATGGGTGGGAATCGGTTTCCCGTCATTCCCTCCCATCAAACATACCCTTTGGTAATATTAGGGCTGTTCATTTGGAACAATTGGATTAAAATCATTGGGATTTCAACCTTGTGTAGTTGCTATTTTCTTTTCCTGATAGGGTTTTAAATGCTGCAAACCTGGTTCCAACTTTGGAGTCCTTAACTGAATGTTCTTTGCACAAAGCGTTGCTTGAAAACCTTTTTAATGATCTTAGCTTATGAGATCTTAGGTTTAATGGTTAAGAAATGATGCAATTCAAGCAACTTTCAGAAATTGCCTTTGCTGCAATAAGTTTTGTCAGCTTGCAATAATATCACTTATCAGATGGTATGGTTTGAAGTTTTACAGTTTTGCGGGTGACTCATATTTAGAGGATAAGTAGGCCAATAATCAAAGTATGAAACATAGAGAGCTGTGGAGCATTTTGGTTAAAAGTTATTCAGAATTGAAATATTTCATTAAAGTGGTCAGAGTGAGTACTGAGTAACAGTCAAATTTCCAAAGTAAAGAAACGCTGCATGGGTTGACAGGTGCATTCTAAGGTCATGTTTTCCTCAACTTATTTTTTTACTTATTACTTATTCTTATTGGAATCAAATCAGATCAGAAACAGCTTTAAATATAACTACATTCAGATCAGAATCATTCAGATTAGGTGGAGAGATTGTGGCCTTGGCCTAACTTGTTTGTTAGGTGTTTGTTAAAAAATGAACCTCTTAACAAAATAATAGAATTAGTTCTCATCAACAGTTGAATTCCTGACTACATTGGGATTGGTGAAATGAAACATGTTAGTGTCAATTCATTGTCCAGAACTAGTTGACATTATATATTTAGCACAAAAAAGTACTATTTCTCTAAACATGAAGTAGTGATAGTAGCATCTAGAACATTGTCAATTTGAGCGGGAGGTGGGGGGAGCTTCTAGAAGATTTACATAATGAATAAAAAATTGGGGTGGTGGGTTAGATGTTGGGTTGTGAAACTTATGGCTAGATGCCTAGATATTGATCCCAAACTTGCAATGCAGGAAATATTAATTTCTAAAGAGAAGAAACCTAGCAATGAATTGAGTCAACAAACTTTCCATCAGGGAATGATGGTCGAAGTTAGCAGTGATGAAGAAGGTTATAGAGGTGCCTGGTTCACCGCAACTGTTATAAAACAATTAGACAGTGGTAAGTACATTATAGAGTATCAGAGCCTAAGGAACGATGACGATACAGACTTTATGAAAGAGGAGGTTGATCACTTGCACATACGGCCATATCCTCCTAATACTAGAAGAGTCAAGAGTTTCAAAGTTTGTGACGAAGTCGATGCCCTGTATAATGATGGATGGTGGACTGGGATGGTTTCTGAAGTACTTAAACGCAACAAATACATTGTCTACTTCAGCGATACTAATGAGGAATTGACGTTTAAGCATGCTGATTTGAGGCCGCACCAGGAATGGGTTAATGGAAAATGGATTAGAGCTTCCAAGGTAAGATGACATGTTTTTTAGTTTGTCAGAGCAAGAAGCAGTATCAATTTTTTTAAGCTATAAATCAATTTTTTAAGTGGCCTTAGCTGAATAGAGGCACGTGTGAAATGGAACTTCATCATATAGATATTAGCTAATATTTCGCAAATATTAGGTTTAGACTGTGTTTCTAATTAGTAGTCATGTTTGTGTTTACGCAAATGGAAAAAAAGTTATTTGAGGAAGAAAGGTGGAATGAGAAATTGAAAAGGTGGGGTGACAAAAAAGGGTAGGGTGAGATAAAGAACAACTAGAGTATGGTGGTGGGTTAGTAAATGTACTTCTTAAAAACAAGGAAAACATATTGGTATTATGAAACAACGCCTTGAAGAATTTGGGATGATTGTAATAAAGCTTGTCGTATGCTGCATTTGAACACATTGAGACAATATCCAGTATGGATCTTACTAGGTAGGAAACCACCTTGGGTGCCCCCACGGATGACAATCACGGATGATTTATACAATATACAAATGATAATCGTCTGTGTTTATAGACAACTATGGTTTTTCTATGTATAAATCATCTTTGATTAGTGGTGTGTTCCTAGCATTTTTAGTGGGACTCAAAGGACGGGAGGGTGAAATTCAGCATCTTATCGTAGTAACGGTAGGAATTGAAATGATTGTGATACCTATAGCTATAGAGTGTGTTTATCCTTCATCATCAACAAAACACAGATTAAGGAAAGCAAGAGCCCAACCCATAAAGGGGAAGTTATGACTAATAAGCATAAATCCTAAAAGTCATTCTGGGATCCTGAATCTGATTACCTTTATGAACAGTTCACTGATGATTCTGACTATTCCTATGTAGGACCTCAGGCGCTTGTAGGACCTCAAGTGCTACCAAGTACCAACTCTTCTAGTACCAATTTATGTTAGAAGAAGTGCATACCCTAGTTTTATTGTGCATCAAGCACACACAAGCGCCCACTACATTCAAGTGTGACTTGAGATGGGACAATTGATGCGCACATGGCCGACATCCTATGCCTTTAGTTATTCATATATGCGCTCCACAAAACAACTTTGGATTCTAATCATATTCCTGAATTTTCTAATTAAAACCATCTTCTTCCCAAACACCATTAGATTGGACATGAGCTATAAAGTTCCTATGCATGGGTTAATCACACACCACTTGTCCTTCCATTTAATTACATTATGTAGCTGAAAGTTCACTCCTTGATGTTGTCAGGCTAAAAAATCACAACCTTCACCGGCTGGCAAATCCAAGAACTAACAAATGATGACACGAAGTCTGTTCGAAGGGGGCTTCAGATTGTCTCAACGTTGCCGCTAAGTATAATAGGTATTGAGCTAGAACACCCTTTAGCATTTGAAGTCATTTTTCGGTTTATTTCTTTCGCTAGTTGTCCATCCTGTCTTCTCTGTAATTTGAGATGTGTGTGCACAGTTATTACAAATTAGGGTCCGCGACGATAATTTCTACTGCTCTTTCTAGGGCCACAATGTTCAAATATACTATATAATCATTATATACTCCCTCCGTTCCACAAAACCCTTCCGGTTTTGACTTTGGGGAAAAATAAGGAAAGTGTAATTTTGATTGACTTTCCAATTTTGCCTCTGATGTGATGGAAAAAAGTAAGATGAGATAGTTTGGTTATTAGTGAAAAAAGTATGATGTGATAGGTAGGGTTATTAGTGAAAAAAGTAAGGGTAAAAGTGGTTTTTTAATAGAAAGTGGAAGTGTTTTATGGAAAGCAAAAAAAAACGAAAGAGGAAGGGTTTTGTGGAACGAAGGGAGTATATATTACCGCGTACCATTTAGGATTTGTAAGCCAATATTTTGATTTCTAAAGATTTGGGCAGCGAAGGCACTCCAAAGCCAATCAGGGTGGCCTTCTTCTCATTCAAGATTTCTAAATATTTTTTTAATTCTTTTTTTGAAGAAGTTTTGACGTAGTTTTTAAATATGTTAATTTTATTTTTTTATTTATATATCAATCTTTAAACAAAATGGATTGAAAAAAACTCAAAATTTTGCCCCGCTTTGTGTAATATGGCAAATATTTTGGGATGGAGTGACTGAGTGAGTATGTATTTTGACTTAGATGCTCTATGAGTCTGTTTGGAAATAGCGTTAGAAATTAGCGTCAGGTTTCAGATAAAATTTTAACGGTGAAGATTACTTTAAAAACGCTGGCCGTAGATAGTTTTTTCAAAATGTTAACGCTAATCTCTATGACTCTATGAGGGTAGAGAAATTTTGTTTGCCAAAAACTTCATCCTTAAAAGCCCTTCCTTTTTGATTTTTGAGAATTTGTGAAGGGATATTTGTGCTTTGATTTTTCCAAATTATTCTTGACCTTAATGTAATAGATAGATTAATAATGAATATATGTAATGTGATAGATAGACTAAGAACTAGTATGAGTAAAAGTGACTTTTTAGTAAAAAGTTGAAAAAAATTGAGATAGAAAAAAGTAATAGGGGAAAATTGATTTGAGATGGAAGAATTATAACTTATTAAATTAAGAAAAAACGTAAAAGGGTGAAGTTTTTTTGGGACATTTAAATAAAGAGAGATTTTTTTTGTGGGACAAAGGAATTAATTATTTACTCTGTATAATTTAATACTAGTAATTTTCATTTACTAAATTATCTTTGTATATTAATTATGCATTATTCCCTCTATCCCACAAAGAATTTCTTGATAATTAATAATTCATGATAATTTTTTGTTTATTAATGTTTTTTGTTGCTTATTTCATACTCCCTCCGTCCAAAATGCTACCCATATTGCTACAAATTTCAGAAGTGTGAATACGGCGGTGATTGAGAAAAAGAATAAGATTAGGGGTTTTTTTGAAATAGAATAAGATTAGGATTTGTTTGGAAGAACCTTGTGTATTTAATCCAACAAATACAAATAATTAGGGTGTATTAGACTATTAGGGTATATCTATTTATTTATACTATTCGAATAATTCGAAATATAAATGAACCGGATCTATTTATATTTGTATTTGTATTTGTATTTGAATCGAATATAATTCAAATTTAATATTTGATTCGTATTCGGATTCGATTAAGGCGAACACAATGCATCTTTTTCGAATACAAATTACGAATCGAATGATTTATATTTGATTTGTATGTACCCTAATAATGAGATCACACTAAAAGGCAGTGATGTCCACAAGATGATTTGAGGCCCAATAAAATCAAACGGTTCAATCCGCAAGACATTCAGTGATCCGGAGGGAGGCCACGTTGCCCAAATATTGTCAATTAAATTTGGAGGCACAGTGGGAGGTCAATTCGGATCGGACGAAGGCGGAAGAATTTAAAGGATGAGGTAGGACTTAGGAGAAGATAAAGAACCGTAAATTTTAGAGTAAATTCCATAAAACGTCCCCAATTATAGGTCGTTTTACATATTTAGTCCCTACATATCAAATATTACTAATTTAGTCTCCAATTATTATATTCATTTCCACGAATGGTCCTTTGTTAATAATTCCGTTAAGAACGTGGACAAAATTGTATATTTATACTTCTCTCTCCTCAATTAAGCTTCCTCCATCTTCTCATACTCTTTCCCAAACTCGTCACTGAATTTAAGCTCTTAAATCCAAAATTTAAATGATCATTCATCCAGTTAGATAAACAATTGAGAGAAGAGTGATAATTTTGGTTTTTGGTTCAAAGCTAGAAACTCAGCGACGGGTTTGGGATAGGAGTGCAAGGGAAGAAGGAAGCTTAATTGAGGAGAGAAAGGAGTGCGAATTTATAATTTTATCCACATTCTTGACGAAAATGTTAACAAAGGACCATTCGTGGAAATGGATATAATAATTGGGGACTAAATTAGTAATATTTGATATGTAGGGACTAAATATGTAAAACAACCTATAACAGGGGACCTTTTATGAAATTTACTCTAAATTTTACAAACAACTCATTGTTGGAAGCCTCAATTGTAGTTCATGTCATAAGATGAATTGGAATTCTATTGTCAAGGGAACACATCCGATTTCTAAAATCATAACCAACTGGATCAATGACGTCTTGCCTTACATTGTGGACTCTTGTGCATAGCTACTCTATCAAGAACTAGCAAGCGGCTATAACAGAAATAAAAACTAATATTACGAGTCCTCAAACTCAAATTTTTGGATGCCCTCAAATGTAGTTGACTTTGGAGTCATATAATTTTAACCCAAAGTCAACTGAATTGGAAAGATGCAAATGAAAGGGGGCCGGTAAGGTTTTGGACACTCCTGGATTGGGGGGATTTAAGGACCGCAATTTTATGAATGGGGGGCCAGGGTTTAAGGAGTAGGTCTAGAGTATTTAACATTGCAAGAAGAGTTGTGTTGTCATGGTCTCAAGGTCCACATGAGTAATGTGGACTTTTTTCACACACTTTTTCATGCATTTGTTGTTAGATCTTTCTCGTTTTACAAAGCCCAATACATTTAGTCATTTTATATCTTAAGGTCCATAAAATAAGTATGGACTCGAGAACCACAGAAAAATTTACTTGCAAGAAGCTATTTGTCCGAAATCATTAGGGCTCCTAGGATTCTCTACTTTAGAAATAACTGTGATTTTAGTAGGAACGGGTCTATTTTATTTTATTAAACAATCAATAAACATGTGTAAATTAATAAATATAATTTGAACCTCGATTACTAAAAAGTGCCTTTTTGACCAGTAGAATATATAGTCCCCGTTTGGCAACAACGTTAGAATTTAGCATTAGCGAAAGTTATATAAATAAGTATATAGCGGTAGCTAGCCGGCCTTTAGCATTATCATTTTTAAATTAATCCACGTCACATTAATTTTTTTAATTCAAAATGAGAACATTAATAAAAAAAATGTTGTTCTCAAACGAGCCAATAACTTGCATTATAAAGGGGTTGATGAAGCAAGGCTACTAATCTTTTTTCTTTTTACTAAGAGGAGGCTAGAATACCAATATATACTCCGTATAATAATGGAGTAATAAAATTCCAAAACGACACCATGCATACTAACTTAAAATGTTCTTTCCATTAAAAAAGCAAAGACAAGGAAATAGCCATTTCACATATGAGAAGCAACTTAACCACAAAGCATGTAACTTGTGGACTTACATACGTATAAACTAGATTAACTCCAGCCATGTCGTACAACATATTTATTATTATCAATATATATATTATTATTCCAACTTATAAGATATAAGAAAATTAAAGTATTAATTGTAGTAACAATAGTATGAGATCAAGTAGTCACACTTCCTTGACTTCCAAATTTACCCCCGCTCCATTGATGACCGGTTTCTCCTCCCCCAGTTCAAAGGCGGAGGTAGGAAAAGTCCGGGACAAACCGGTGGTGCTTTTGAAGTGGATCTTCCCGGTGGGGGGATCGTCGGTGGAGATCTCATTTATGGTCAACCATAACATGAGCTCCTTCGCCTTGACCCCGGTCAGCTTCTTGATCTTGCCCGGTTCGATGATCGCCGTGACCTCGGTCGCGTACTGGACCGACCGCCCGATCTGCTCGAACTTGTGGTCGGTCCTCTTCTTGGACTTGAGCCACACGAACCCGGTGTCCTTCACGTACCCGCACTCCTCCATGTCCTTTATGGGCAGCAGCCCGTTGGGCAGCTTCATTTCGGTCAGCAGAAACTTCGCTTTCTCTTGGCACTTTTCGTCCCCTTCGTAGAACTCTGTCGCGCTCTCTCTGATCTCCTTTGTGATTAGAGATGCCATTTTTTTTTCTTCTTCTTCTAACTGAATTTTTTGACTTAAACTTTTGTTTTTCTTTCTCTGGTGTCACTAAGTTGTGGGGTGTTTGCAGTTTATATACTTGAGGCCTGGGGCAAAAGTATGGTAGGTCACTTCTTACAAATTAAGGAGCCACTACTCTCTCCGTTCCTATTTTGATTATAACATGGGAATTACGAGGTAAAATTCCACTTTTTTTGAAATCATTTTATTTACAAATTCATAAATCAATAAAAAATTACATGTTAAAAAATTACATCAAAAGTTCTACAAAAAGAAGAGGTAGTAATACTATTTTATTTTATCAAATAATCAAAGAAAACACACAAACAAACAAAAGTTATCGAAAAGAAAGAGAAAATAAAATTATAATCAAAATGGGGACAGAGAGAGCATAAAAAAGGTACAATAGAATGGTAGAGGTAAATCCAACTCTAATACAAATAAATTAAAATGCTACGTATCAATTAGCTACTTCGTCCAAATAATTTTTTTTGTTACCATTCACATAGCCAAATTTTATTCACTTTGTGACATAAGACTTTTTCATAATGACAATATGGCATTGTATATTGACATTTTACAATGTTTTTTGATGTTTTATATTGACATTATGAATTCTATTTAAGAAAAAAAATATAAAAATCTACTTTGATTTTTTTTATATTTTACTTCTTCCCCGCATTCTCGGATGCCCGCAATTATTGGAGTAAATTGAGTCTTGTTTTTCTCTATCCAGCTAGCAGAGGTATTGCCAATTTTGAAGGTAGTTTAGAAGTATAAATGTTGCACATTAATTAATTAGTTATCCATCTACTTCTGAAAATGTTTCCCGTCCAATTTAATGGGTTTGAAATGGCTCTTCAATATTTGAAACTTGTTATTACAAGGGTGATTGTGGTTGACTTTGTTTGGGAAAAAAGTCTTTCTTCAACAAAATAAGAGGTTATTTATGATTATTGATAAATTGTAAATAAACTAGATTGAAAATTCAAACAAGTTTTATTGACATTAATTTTTAGACAAATAATTACTTTATTAAAAATAGTACTCCGTAGTAGATTTTAATAGTACACCTTGGTTCCCATGACATTGGGAACCAATGTCATGGAATGACCCAAGGGTGCTCCGGTGCCCCGTTCGTAAAATTCACGGTTCCTACCCCCCCTAACCCCCTCCCCGGTAAATCCCCACCCCGCTCCGACCCGAACGCGCGCCCCCACCCCCTTCATTTACACCCCCAAAGTTAATTTTGACCAAACAATGGGAACCGGCCTCTTAATAGTATCTACTTTGATAGTTATACAGAGTCGTAGCGTCTTATCCCTCCCCTGTAAAGACTTGTAACATCTTTACTTTAGGATAGTGATAGCCACACCTAATAAAACATTAAGAGTCTGTTTGGTTGGAAGGAAGGTGAGGGAATCAGCAGGGCGGATCCACTCTTCATCTAATGGGGGCACTTGCCCCCAATGAAATTTTGTTCTTATTTAATTAATACATTAAGATTTCCCTAAAAATTAATATTGCCCCCAATAAAAAAATAATTTGCCCCCAATGAAAAAAATGTTCAAATAGAAAAATGAATTATTTAGACTTTTTTGAAATGAATAAATTATTTTTTAAACTAAAAATAAAAGAATTTCAAAATTAAAATTAAGCTATAATATTAACTACGGAGTAGAAGATAATTCAAAAATAAAAATTATAAGAGAAAGTAAAATTATAGAGAGTGCTTTTGAGATTTTTCATTAATCATTTGAATGTTTTATTTAATTTTTTTTTATAATTTACTTTGATTTTAAAAAAATATTATTATTTTTTAAAAAATTTACATTGGAAAATAACTTTTGTTTGAGTCCTATTCCGTGCAAATTTTCACTTTAAAAAATGGGACACTACCCTCGAACTTTCGTATTACTCTTGCCCCCAGTCGCTCCAAATCCTGGATCCGCCACTGGGAATCAGGACCCCTCCTCTTGTTTGGTTTAAAAACATGGGAGGGAGGAGACAAAATTTTAGCTCCAATTCCCTCCCCTCCCCTCCAAATCAATCCTTCTGAATCGGACAAAATCTCCTTCCCTCTTGTCATTCTCTTCTTCTTTTGTCAATTTTTTTGCCTTATCAATAAAAAATACTCGTAATGCATAATAAAATAAAATTAAAATAAATAAAAAATAAAATAAATTATTTTACAATAACAAAAAATTAATAACAACAAAATCTGTATTGTAATAAAATAAAGAAATAAAAAATAAATGAGAAGTAAAATATTAATAATAATAAAGAAGTAGATATAAAAAAATAAGAATAAAAAACTAAAAATATTAATATCATAAAATAAAAAACCCATAGTAAAAATAATAACATAAATAAAAAATTAATAATAATTAAAAAATTGATAGTAATAATAATAGTAATAATAAATAAGTAATTACAATAATAAAATAAATCAATCAATTCATAATGGAAAATCATAGTAATAAATAATAAATAAAATAGTATGTGTGTGTGTCTATATATATATATATATATATATATATATATATAGACACACACACACACTTAATTAAATTTAAAAAATAACTTACATAAGAAAAAAATTAAAATGTAGGATAAATGATAAAAATAGTAATAAAAAATTAAAATTAGAAAGAATAAAATGAATGAATAAAATCAAAAACCCTGATAATAATTTTTTTAAAATAGATAACAAAATAAATTTAAAATGAAAATTATAAATAAAAAATTTAAAATAAAATATTTTCTTTCCCTCCAAACAAAACAAGGTGAAGGGAATCCTTCTCCTCCGTCCCTATTCCCTCCCATCCATTCTTTTCCCTCCCCTCCCTTCCAAGTTCCAACAACACTTACCCTAAATGCACCCTATCAACTAATTAAAAAACAATATTATACGTTAACTTTTAAAGCTGTTCATTATTTATTTCATTTTATTACTTTTGAAAAAAATATAGGAATTTGTTTAAAAAATTTTGGCATCTATATTTTAATTTTGCATTTATTAAAATTAATTTCATTATTATTAAGTTCAATGAGCATTACTTTTGTATAATATTTTCGATTTTTAAGTATTATACCAATATGCATTTCACCTTTCTAACTTTTTAGATTTCCATGATTTTTTTATTATTTTAAAAAGAAGGTTAAATAAGTTTTCTAACCTTTCTTTAAAAAAAGCTTGATGTAAGATTTAAAAACTACTCACCATTTATGATAAATTGTAAATAAACTAGATTGAAAATTCAAACCAGTTTTGTTGACATTATTTTTAGAAAAATAGATTACTTTATTTAAAATAGTACTCACTAGTATATTTCTATAGTATCTATTTTGACCATAGTTTTAAAAACCGGACCGGCCGGTTCGGTCCGGGAACCGGACGCCGAGCCGGTCCGTTTTTTTTGAAGAGTTCTAAAAAACGCTTAATCAAGGATTCGAACCCAGGACTAGTTGGGTGGATGAGGCATCTGAGAGACCATCTCGGCTAGAAAGCTTTGTGTTCACCATCTACCATTCTCTTTCTATATTCTATATTTAATTTTTTTTATCAAATACTTTTTAAGTATATATAGTTTTTTTTCTAAAATGCAAACCCATTGATGTAATATATATAGAGTGCATATCACACAAATATTTTATATGTATATTTATTTAAATTATAGGTAAAAGTTTAAAAAAAATTCAAATTACTTTTTATTTATAAGTTTTTTTAAATAAGTAAATCTTATTTTTTATTTAAAGACACAACTCAAGTAAATTAAGTTAAATTACAAATTTAGTCAAACATCAATTCTTTTTATTTATAAAAATAAAAAATGTTATTTTATTTACTTATATATTAGTTTTTGTAATTCAATTCCACAATGTATATATATACATATACATATACATATATATATCATTATTTATTAAAAATGTTTGAACCACTGGTTCAACCACTCGAACCACTGATTCGACCAGTAAACCAGGGAACCAGTGCCTTGACCGGTTCGATCACCGGTTCGGTTCTGAAAACTATGATTTTGACAATCAAAAGGGAGTCGTAGCGTCTCATTCCTCTCGCATAAGGACATGCAACATCTTTAGTTTAGGGTAATGATAGCCACACCTAATAAAATATTAAATGCGCCCTATCAACTAATTAAATACATTTGAGATCTATGCATAATTATGTTATCATTTTAAAAAGATATATATAAAACTTTTTCAATTAAAAAACAATATTATACGTTAACTTTTAAAGTTATTCACTATTTATTTCATTTTATTACTTTAGAAAAAATGTAGTATTTTTTTATTTCAAAATTTTGGCATCTATATTTTAATTTTTCATTAATTAAAAATTTTCATTATTATTAAATTTAATGACCATTAATTGTGTATCCATTTTTAAATATTATACCAATATGCATTTCACCTTTTTAACTTTTTAGATTTATAGAATTTTTTTATTATTTTAAGAAGAAGGTTAAATAAGTTCTATGACTTTTTTTAAAAAAAGGCTTGATGTAAATTTTGAAAACTACTCACCACTTTTCTCTATTATTACTTTCAAAAGAAGATTTAAATAAATATCCATCATTAAAAAAACTACAATTGTTATTTAAAAAAAGATATCATATCTAATAATTAAAAAATTTGATATAATGCATATCATATACATTTATTAAAAAAAACAGTATATATATATGTGTGTGTGTGTGTCTATATATATATATATATATGTATGTATGTATGTATGTATGTATATGTATATGTATATATATGTATATATGTATATATATATATATATATATATATATGTATGTATGTATATGTATATGTATATATGTGTATATATGTATATATATATATATATATATATATATATATTATTTAAATTCTATTTAAAACATAATTTTATCTTAAATTTACAAATATTACAATGTATTTGATACCGTGCAGAGTATGAATTTGAAAGTACTATATACGGAGTATTTTAGAACGTAGAAGAGAGACTAGAATATGGGCTGAGTTTACATTTTGAAAGGGGGAGTAGTTTTTTGATGGATATGACTATCACTACCCTTTATTTTACCCTTTATTTTACGATTTAGAAATCTTATATGGCCATGCTTTTGGACTTGGATGTTAGAGTCAATTATTTTTCTAAAATCATTTTTTATACACATATAAAAGAATGAGATTAAGTGGACGTTCCTCTATGCTTATATGCCGGTCAAAATTGCTCATAAGTAATTTTTAACTTATAAGTTAACTGATGGCATGATTCTCTGTGTTTATTAGCTTACTAATACGCTGACTTATAAACTAATTATAAGTTAGAAAAAATAAGTAAGTCTTACCTACCTAAGCTAGTCAAAACGGCTTATAAGTTATGAGTTTTTTTAAGCAAGTTTTTTTGAAATTCTGTTTTCACAAGATTATTTACAAAATTACTTCTCACCATTTGTGAATATTTCCAAATTACTTATCTATCATTTAAGTAATTTTATTTTCACGAAAGATTATTTAACTCAAAAGAAGCTTAAAATTTAAAAATTATTTATCAGTAATAAGTAAATAAGGACCATCACTGAGAAACACCCTCTTAGATTATAAACATCATATAAGTTAAAATCTGTTTATCAACAATAAGTTAATAAGGACCAGTAGAGGGAAGTACCTCCTAAGTAATACCCTCATTAATAAATATCTTTTAAAAATGATAAAAAGAAATAATTTCTCCTAACAGTCAAGTACAAATGCTAATCTCCTTGATGTTAGGTTGTGCAGCCTGATTAATATTTTGATGTAATGTCAAATATTAATGTTCACGGGATTCATCTTAGGTTGTAATTAAAGCCTGATTAATATTTATATGTTGTATTATTCATTCTCCATTTATTCTCTCTAACTGTACATACTCTAAGGCATGAATATATACACCCTACCACTGTGGAGGTTTATTCACGCATTTCACTTTCTCTCTCTACATTTCCCATTTCTCTTGTTTTTCATCGTCTTTTTCATGCCATTTCTGTGAGTGTTAGATTCGATCTTAACAACCGGTATCAAAGTTAAGGAGAATCAACATGATCACTGAAGATGGAGAGTTTGAAGCTTGGAATTGAGAAGTTTGATGGATCCAATTTCAGAATCTAGAAGATGCAGATCAAGACTATCTGTACTAGAAAGATCTTCATGAATCCTTGACCGAGGTGAAGTCGGATTCCATTACAGAGGAGCGCAGCAATGGAAGCTCATGGATCGTCAGGCGTTGGGGATGATCCGGTTGACTTTGACAAAATGTGTGGCGTTCAACACCGTGAAGGAGAAGACTACGACGGGTCTCTTGAAGGCCCTATAAAATATATACGAGAAACGATCTGCAATGAACAAGGTATATTTGAGGTGTAGATTGTTCAATTTACAAATGCCTGAAAGTGGTTCTGTGGCTGATCATATAAACGTCTTCAATATGACTGTGAGTCAACTATGTTTTTCGGAAATTAATTTTGAAGATGAAATTAAAGTGTTGATTTTGTTGTCATCTCTGCCCGAGTCTTGGGATAATGTTATTACTGCGATTAGCATTTCCCGTGGATCTAAGAAGCTGAGGTTCGATGAAATCCGTGATGTTGTTCTTAGCGAAAGTATTCGCAAGAGAGAAGTGGGTGATTCATCAAGCAGTGCTCTCAGCATTGAGCGAAGGGGGAGAAGCAATTTAAAGTCAAACATCAACATGGCCGATCAAAATCAAAGAATTGAGGAAAGTCTCCGAATAGATCGAACACAACTTGTTGGAGTTGTGGAGACAAGGGACATTTTCGAGCAGATTGTAAGAAGCCTAAGAAGAAGCAGAATCAAAAATATGGATATGATAATGATTCTGTAAATTCAGCAGAGAACATTGGGGATGCTCTAATCCTTAGTGTGGACAATCTGGTTCAATCCTGGATTTTGGATTCTGGTGCATCTTTCCATTCGTCACCAAGCAAAGAATTATTCCAAAATTTCAAATCTGAAAATTTTGGAAAGGTGTTTCTTGTTGATAACAAGGCCTTGATGATTGAAGAGAAATGGAATGTCTGCATAAAAACACCAGAAGGAAATCACTGGACATTAGAAGATGTCAAATATATTCCTGGTCTCAAGAAGAATCTTATCCCTATTCCTCAGCTGGATAGCACGGACTATGCAGCAAGGTTTGGGAAAAGTTACTGGAAGATTGGGAAAGGTGTTATGGTTGTAGCACGAGGCACAAAATTTGGAACTTTGTACACCACTGCATGGTGTATTAATATGGTTGCCGATGCTGATGGTGCTTCTGGTTCGAGTTAGTGGCATGACAGACTTGGACACATGAGCGTTAAAGGAATGAAGATGTTGGATGCAAAAGGAGAATTAGAGGGCTTGAAGTCTGTTGCTATGGGTCTTTGTGAGAGTTGTGTTATGGGCAAACAGAAACGAGTTACCTTCAAAAATACGTCAAGAGAGCTGAAGAAACTGCAGTTGGAAATGGTCCATACAGATGTTTGGTGACCATATCCGGTCTCATCACTTGGAAGATCTAGATTTTATGTCAACTTCATTGATGATTTCAGCAAGAAAGTATGGGTTTACTTCTTGAAGCATAAGTCAGATGTTTTTGCAATGTTCAAGAAGGGGAAAGCTGAGATTAAGAATCGGACTGGGCTGAAAACCAAATGCCTGTGGTGTGATAATGGAGGAGAGTATGACAAGTTAGAGTTCAAGGCGTTCTATGCAGTTGAGGGAATCAGATTGATGAGAATAATTCCTGGTAAGGCAAGGCAGAATAGAGTCGGTGAGAGGATGAACAGAACATTGAATGAGCGTGCAAGGAGTATGAGGATACACTATGGGCTACCCAAAAGATTTTGTGTTGATGCTGTGAGCATGCACAACTTCATACTTGATCAACAAGGGACCATACTTGAGGACTTTTGGTTACACTGCCTATGTTTATGTTGATCGAGAGAAGAGAGATAAGCTTGATGTTAAGGCTGTGAAGTGTTACTTCATAGGCTATGGTTTTGATATATTTGGTTATAGGTTTTGAGATGACAAAAATAGAAAGATCTTGAGACATTGTGATGTGACATTTGATGAGTCTGTCCTTTACAAGGACAGAGAGCAAAAGGTTTCAGAGACTACAAAGGAAGTGGGAGTTAAGATTGAGTTGGAAAAGAGTACCCCAAGAGATTTTGAATGAGAAACTCAACCATCTCGAGACACTATTGCTGAAGAACCTGAGGTGGAGCACGTGACACCTGAGCGGGTGTTGAGGAGATCATCCAGGACTATCAGGGCACCAGATAAGTATTCACCTTCATTACACTATCTGTTGCTAACTGATGAAGGGGAACTAGAGTCCTTTGATGAGGCCCTACAGGTGGAGGATTCAGTCAAGGAGAAAGCCATGGATGATGAGATGAGCTCACTTGAGAAGAACAACACGTGGGTGTTAACTGAGTTACCTGCAGGGAAGAGAGCTTTGCTAAGCAAGTAGGTGTTCACTGTTCAGGATGAAAACTAAACCAGATGGCAAAAGAAGGTTCAAGGCTCGATTAATGGTTAAAGGTTATTCACAAAGGAAAAGTATTGATTGCGCTGAAATATTTTCTCATGTTATGAAGTTAACCTCTATTCGAATATTTTTGTGTATTGTTGCATCGAATAATTTGCACTTGGAGCAAATGTATGTGAAAACAGCAACAACCAGAAGGATTTGTTGTTCCAGGCAAGGAACACATGGCGTGTAAGCTCACTAAGAGCTTATATGGGCTAAAGCAAGCGCCTTTGTGGTACAGGAAATTTGACTCCTTCATGATCAAGAGTGGCTTCTACAAGGCTGAATAAGATCAGTGTTGTTACTTTAAGAAATACATTGATTATTATGTCTTTCTACTTTTATATGTGGATGATATGTTGATTGCGGGATCTAGCATGAGGGAGATTAACAATCTGAAGGTAAAGTTGTCTTCAGCACTTGACATGAAGGATTTGGGTGCATCAAAGCAGATTTTGGGGATAAAGATTTCTATGGATAGATCTGCTAGCACTATAATTCTATCTCCGGAGCAATACATTGAGAAGGTGCTGAGCAAATTCAGGGTTAATGATGCTAAACACAAGACTACTCCATTGGCAAATCACATTAAATTGTCAAAGGAGCAGTCACCGAAGAGGGATGAGGAACGCGAGCATATGGCACGTGTTCCATATGCTTTAGCAGTTGGGAGTTTGATGTATGTTATGGTCTACACTATACCTGACATAGCACATCAGAAAACGGTACCATTTCACTCGCAGGGCAGTGGACGCTGGTGATATGAGCTTGGAGAAGATAGAGGGTGCAAAGAACTCGGCAGACATGTTGACGAAATGTGCTGATGTTAGGAAACTGAGATTTTGCAAGACCTCGGTTGGTCTTCTGTAATTGTTGCTACAGATGTTGCGGTGCGGTAAAGACATTGATGATGAAGAGACATTTTTTATTTGAGAATGTTATTCTTGGATGGGTAGATCAGTCTCCAAGTGGGAGAATTGTTTGGTTGTGGAGCTTGATTCGTCAAAATAACTAAAATCAGTCAAAGAAGTTAAAAGTCTATCGAAATGCCATTTTCCAAACATGGTCATAATCGAAAAGTGGCCCAGAGATTTATTTACGGAAAATTCTCTAATTTGGGATGGAGAGGGCATATATTTAACAAGTATTCCCTTTGTCCCAAAAAACTCTTTCTAATTTTGATTTTTAAGTCAATTTTCTACCACTTAAATTATTAATAAATATAATTTTATTTAAATAAATGTTACTATGATCGGTCTAAAATTTGAAATATCAAATGCTAGAGTCACAAATCAAAAATTCACAAAATGCACAAACTTACCCAAAATGTAAAGTAATGGTTTGAAATTAATGGTCTTAAATAATTAAAAAATAAAGATTAAAATACACAAATGGTAAGTTTGTGTATTTTGTAAGTGTTACCCAAAAAGTTAACTCAATTAGACAAAGTGTGTATTATAATTAAATAATCTTACTATTTGTAATCAATGTGTGCAAAACGTTAACAAAAAAAGTAAAAACTAGTCAAATATTTTTGGGGACAGAGAAAGTACTTTATCAAAGTTTATTCTACATATATTCTCTCGTACTCCATGGGTGTCACGTCTGTGTAATAATCCTCCACTAAATCCTTTGATGCAAGTTACACAGGTGCATAACAACATGACTTCGAAACATGCTTTTTCGAATTGTTATGATAAAACTTTAATATAGGATTTCTAACTCGTACCCTATACGAGTCCGCTTTGGCTATCACATCTCCACCAAGATCGCAAGGACATATATGGTTGGCATCCCTCTTGTTCAGCTCAGATTCATCTTCTGGATGTTACGATGACTTCTCGTTGAAGATCTTGTTCATGTGGATCATAACATCTTCACGCAAGGATGGCTCCAGGATGCTACGAGAATGCTCTTAGATAAACATGCATTCTGCACTTTCCGTCATAATCGCTAGCAGAATTCCCAGGGATTTGCTGTGTTTGTATACACCTCTCCAAAGCCAATCCTAGTAGGAATAGGTTAGTAGAAATTTTCTTGAGCACAACTTCTTTAGTCTTTATCTCCATGAAATTAGATTAGTACTCCTTAACATTGATAAATCCTATGAGGTAATTGCAACTCCCAATAGACTAGTCTAATTCCAAATATTGCATATCGGAGCTTTAATTCTCGTACATGCCTTGCTGATCCCGTCACAGACTAGTGTGTTGTAGCATCTTTTGTATCACCCTTGATAAAACAGCATCTCTAAAAAGGCAAAATAAAAAATCACTTCTAACAAATTAAGATTTCTACCTAGTAAAATTCCTAATAAACAAAAATTTTTATTTTGCCAAAAGATTAGCCAACACCTTGGAACCAACAAGTCTTTGTGGCAGCATAGTTTAAAAGTGCCTTAATGAAACATTCATACGATTTGCATTGATAATGTTCAATAGGTGTTACGTAAAAAACAAATTATAAAATCAGTAAAGTTCTGAAAATGATTCTTCTTACTTATGTGTTTTCATTTTAGGGCTCGGGTTTGGTGAGTTTTATAGGAGTAGAGGTCTAATATGATATAAATATTAAAATTTCAAATAAATAATATGAATTTTGAAATCTAAAATAAAAATATTTAGACATGCCTAAAATGATTGTTGTTAGTGACGGGAGACACGGGTAACCAGAGTTAGAATGTGGTCAAGGGTGAGTGGTCGATCAAAAGAGTGCGTTCAATTGAAAAAACTATGCCTCCGGTATTAAAAAAATATATTTGCACTAAGTAGCACTAAAACTTAAATCATTTCTTTAAATAGTAATTAAATTGTTTTATTCTCTAAATAACACTTACTAATGTCCAGAAAGATGAATAATATCCAGTGATGACGAACATTTACCAGAATAATGACTAATGGATAATGACTAAAAGTGTTACATTGGGAAAAAAACACATATGATACTATTTAGGGAAAGTCATTATATTTTAGTGCTATTTAAGTAAATTCCTCTAAAAAAATCATAGTCCATCTCATCTGTCACTGAAAACTATAATTATTAAAAACATTTAGCTCATTAAATATTAGCCTAGGCCAAACCAGTGTTTGAATAGAATATAAAAATAAAATATTTATATTATGATAAAGCCATGTTCTCTCCACATGATCTGAATGGTTTGAAATAAGTTCTGATCTGGTCTGAATGTAGTTATATTTAAAATTGTTTCAGATCTGAACTGATTCCAATAAGAAAAAGTAATAAATAATAAGAATATGATAAAGAGAACAGAGCCTAAGTAAACTAAGTAACGATATACTCCGTAAATTATATTTTTTATGTAATTTTTTTTTCATTTTAATTACCCCCTCCCTTCCATTTTAATGGTGTGTTTCGGTGTACGATGTTTGAGTAAAATTATGCTCCAAGATAATTGGTGTGGAATTTTAAAAAAATACATATTTGAAAAACTTCAACAAAAATTCTACAAAATAAGTGCAGACATGAATATATACTATTTTTTCCAATGACAAACAAAAATAAGTGAAAAAAAGTAAATAATGTTTGAGCATGTAAATAATGATGTGTAGGCGAGACAAAGAGGGTACTTGAATAGACATTTGAAATGACTTTTATATTTTTTGTTCTAATTTTCTCATTGATTTAAAAAAACCACTGGATCAAAATGTGCTCCCAACTATTTTTAATTCTAGATCTGTCATTGGTGTCGAAACTCGAAAGGATAGTATATATATCTATCCAGAAATTTAAGTACTCCCTCCGTCCCATATTTGTTTAACACTTTGAATTGCATACAAAATTTGTCTTTTAAATTTACTTTATTTTTTTAAGGGTAAATTTACTTATTAATCGGTATAGTAATAAAAAATACAATTTAGATATTAAAAATAAAAAAAATTCTACAAAAAACAAGACATGGCAAAAAACATACTTCATCCGTCCTCTATTTGATTACAAATTGGGGTTTACGAGGAAAATTATCTCACTTTTTGAAATCATTTTATTTATAAATCGGTATATCGATAAGAAATAAAAATTACATATTAAAAATCTACGTCAAAAGTTCTACTAAACAAGAAGTGACAAAAATATTTTATTTTATCAAATACTTAAGAAAATTGCGTAAACAAACAAAAATTATCGGAGAGAGTATTTTATCATTTCAAATCTGGAAGGTGCGCTCGCGATATGTTGCGAAATCCCATGTTCTTTATTGTCTGCATAATTAATGTAATAAAGTATGAAATAAATGAAGAAATGGGTTTAGGTTGTCGTTGGGGAAATGAATGGTAACAGTCAACTTCACATTTGTGTCATATATGCACCGAAAAACATTAATACTCCGTACTTCACATTTGATATGTACCAGTCAGTAGTTGCCTAGTTGGGACTATGAAGGTTTTTTGGGTTAAACTATATGGACGTAGAAGGGTAAAGCGTATGGAATGCATTATATTGTTGGATTAAAATTTTGAATTACGTGGATATGAACAAATTAAAAGTAAAATATAGATAAAATACCAAAAATAGAAGTTTTATATTTTTATTTTCAAAATAAGAGTTTGCACGGTGTGTGTGTGTGTGTAGAGAGAGAGAGGCCAGGTAAGAATGGACGTTGTGGAGAGAAATGAGAATGATTCATTTTCATTCGCCCATGGTGCATTTTTCTACGCAGGTAGTGCATTTTAAAAAGTTCAATTAAATTACGAAAGTACCACCGCATTTTTTTAAATTTTTCTTATTTTTCAAATTTTTATGGCCCTTAGATCTCACACTCTAAAGCACCACATGCATTTAAGATCTCATTCTCATTAGAATATATATATATATATATATATATATATATATATATATATATATATATATATATATATATATATGTATGTATGTATGTATATAGACACACACACATATATATATCTTGTGCCTTGTATTTAATTGATTAAAAAATATACATAAGCATTTCCCTAATTGTTACTCCTAACAATATATATTAATCTCAAATTCAATTCTCGGAACGCAAAAATCATCATGGACAAATCCCCTTTTTGGACTAAAATATAGACTCAACCATTAATGTTCAAATCCAAAACAAAATTCAAGGACTATATTTTTTGCCAATAACATATTCTTTGCCCTCCCCTCGCAAAACTTTTCTTTCTTTCTCCCTCTTTTCCCTTTACATTGTTTGGTTCAAGGAAAAAAAAAATAATTTTCCCTCATTTTCCTCACGAAAATGGGAGAAGTTTGGTTTTTTCTCCTCTTAGTACATTTTGCCTTGTCATTTCCTTTTCCTTCCACTTTTCTTTTTTTCCTCTCTAATCAAACAAGAAAAATATTTTCCTTCTCAATTTCTTTTCCGTTCCTTTTCAAATTCCTTGAACCAAACATAGTGTTAGTAAATCCAGGAGTAACCCAAGATGTCACATTTTGGGAACAATAAATGCCACAAACCAAATGTGTGTTTTCCCATCCAAGAAGAAGGGAAATATTTCATCATCCCATGCTAAAAGGACCACAACTGAAATGGACCCTTTCCAAAGTGGTTGGGAGAGGGAGATATTACCATTGAAGCGAAAACATCAAGAATACAGTTGCCTCTTCTCATATCTGCAGTCATTAATGAAAGTATATCAAATGCCCCATCACTACAATATACTCAATAAATTGAGACAGACCAATAACATGAAAACCCAACACAAGCTGGTACAGAGGGAGTAACTAGCAGTCAATAAAATAGTACTTCGGTTTTAAACCCTAAACTTTTGAACTATTATTGTTCCATTTGTTTCGCTTGATTTGCGTAGTTCAGCTTTCAGTTATTTGAGATATTTAGTTTTTTTAAAATATAATAAAGAGTTTAAACGTATAATGTAAAATATACACTGTATACCATTACAACAAAACAATTGTTTGAACAATTAATCCAAAACTGAACTAAACCGTATTGCAATTTTACTTTTGGTTCAATTGTGGGTAAAAGTCAACCCGAAAAAGTCAAAAGAAACCTACATGAATAAAACTAAAACATGAAACTTATTACCAAACTAGGAGCCTGTTCTCTTCGACTTATTGTTATGGAGTATTACCTATTCTTATTGGAACAGATCAAATTAGATCATAAACATCTTTAAATATAACTACAATCAGATCAGACCTTAACAAAATCATATCAGAGGA